GTTTTGAAATAAATAGTAATGCTAATTTTGAATAACTATAGCTTGATTAAAGTTTGGGTGTTTAGATACAAATTCTGATTGGCCAATTTTGAATTTCACGCACAGTCAGACTCCTATATAAAACTATATTGTATTAGAGCTTCAAATAAAGAGATACGGACATGAAACTAAGGGAAATTATAGTAAATAGATTAAGCTTTTAGATTACAGAGAGTTTTTTTTCTTGCTAATTAAAAAAAAATTTTTTTATATATTCTAAAGAAATTGAAAAAAGATTGCTAATAGGAAAACTTTATAACCAAATGAGATAGGGAAAAAGCTCTTTGTAAGTTTATTATAGAAGACTAAACAATAAAACTATAAAAAGTTTTGTTTAATTTTATTATGAAAAAGTTATTCAATTTATTATTAAATTTTACATTGTAACTGATAAATTAATAGAAATTTCTATGTTTTCAAAAAAATATATGATAAAGATACTAAAAAATCCACACATAATACTTTGTTATATTGATGTAACATATGTTTGATGATCAACAGCCATCAAACACCACAATAATTGATCCTGTTGTAGGGATTAGTGGTGTATTTGAATCTGATTTATTAAAAAACAGCTTATATAGGCTTCTTCAGAGTTAAGAACCAAGTTTTTTTGCTTCTTCTTCTAACACTGGTTGATCACTGATCAACAAAAAAATTATTAGATTCTTTCTTTCTATAACATTCCAAATCTCTGCATGATTTTTCATTAGATCCTTGTAATATAAGCTGACTTGGACATTGTACAACTTATTGTTGTAAACAAATCATCTACATCAAGAATATATAACTTATTTAAATAATAACATAGTGTTAATTAGAACTAGTAAAAAAAGGCATATTTGTTAAATGTTTTATATTTATTTATATTTACTTACATTTGAAATCACATTTCTTATTTCTTTAAAATTTTTCATTGAAATTGATGGTTTAAGAGTTGTTTGAACATCACTCTATTATAAGGCGAATTAACAAATTAGTATGATATCCTTCAGATATATTTAAATTGTTCAATCTAAAAAAAATTATTATTTTACTTCTTCAGGCACATTTTTTTCTTCATTGTCATTCAGGTTCATTTTCTTAAAGTTATCTATAAGATCCCAAACGATCTAATTATTTGTCTGTTCATCCTGTTTGTTTGTGTTGCTTATAATTAAGTAGCTATATTATTGAATAATAGAGAAATACTCATTTCACGTTAGAAAATATATATATAATAAATTTCAGCATTAAAATAAATTATTAATTTACCTTTACAATTTATATAATTAATATTAACAAACTATATAATAATAAAAACTCCTCCAATTGTTAATGATTTCATAAAATACTAAATTGAAACAAATTCTTGAAAAAAATCTTTTTTAGCACTTTTTTTTATTCGTATATATTTATTATTGATCGGCATCATGTTACATCACCTAATTTTGATAGGGTGTCTCACACCCAGTGTTGGAAATTCAGAGTGCGTGCTAACCAGATATGGAAATTATCAGCGGATTTTTGCAAATAGTTGCCAAATTTGGTTAGCACCGCACCCTCCGCACCCTGAATTTCCAACACTGCTCACACCCCAATCAATTAACTACACTATTAATTGCTTTAAATTTAAGAAAAAAAATTTTCTTGCTTTAAATCATTAATGTAATAAACTAAACAATTAGTAAAAACATGTGGGCTTCTCCAAATTACATCAACAAAAATCGTAATATCAATGAATGCTCATGGTGTGATGATTTAATCTCACCAATTATTTTTTTTTGTCATTTAATGTTAACACGAACATTGCTAGAATTCAGTATAAAATGAAATTATTTAAAAGTCAAGATTTTCCATCTGAATTGACCATTCAAAGGATAAAATTCATTTTAGGGACAGAGAAATTCTCAATCAATTAAAAAAGGAATGGCAAAATAGACCCATCTTGGTACCCAGATTATATGTGGTACTTGGTTGTTGAGAATCCATATTATTTATTTGAAGTATTTTTCAGAGAGGTTTCCTATGGCCCAAGAGCCAAAGGAAGTTCATTAATTAAACACATTAACAATGACAGATCAAGATTAGCCAAAATGGCAAAAGAATCATGGAACAGTATGTCAAGATATATCAAACAACACACTGACAATCCTAACTGCCTGTATTTGTTAAACAAACTCGAAATTCCCATGATATAGTAAGTATATTACATATATATACATATATTTTTTTTTTTTGAACTGGAATCATAACTAAACTTATTTTTTTTACTGGATTTTAGAAAAAAAATTGGTTGTATTTATTTTAGACTACAGTCATAAACCTTTTTTCACAATGAAAAAAATATTAAAAATTCATCTCCCAATAATTCAACAACTTCATTTTAAAAATTCAAAAGTACTTGAATTGATCAAAACTCTAAAAACTCTCTGAAGAATATTACAACAAAACATCAAAATAATAACAAAAACAATAGCACATAGTAAAAGAATCAACAACAAGTCAGAAATATCATACACCACTTTAAATTCCTAATTTGTTATATATAAAATTTATCATTATATGGGGCGTAGAAAATAGAAACAGCCCTTACTGTAAAATCAAGAGATTTTGACCCAAAAATTCGGTATTTGTATATTGTTTCCATATTTATAAGAAAAATAGGGGCTGTTTTCCAAACAAAATAATAACAATATAATAATATAAATAATATAATAAATGATAATTTAAATCCGGGTTACATTATTTAACCAAATACCTGGATTTGCATCTATCATTGCTTATTTAGTAAAGCTCTTATTTTTTGGTTCTTGTATGATTTGCTATCTTCATTTAAATATCTCAAAACTTTACTAATCAAAGTAGGTATAGTTCCTAAGCTAAAATTAGCCCTTGTAAAGAATTGCATATAAGAATGTTATTAACTCAAAATCAAGATTTTGCATTTAGGGCTGTTTCTATTTTCCATGCCCATATATTTAAATAATCTGAACTAATATAGTTTTTGATCCAAAATGATAATAGATGAAATATTTTTAATTAAGTTCTTTTTCTTTTAGTTCTTTTCTTAACTTGCAGTGTGAGTTGGTGATTGAGATAGTGGGTTTGAATGAAGATTTGATTTGTTGATCATCTTACACTTAATATTTACATGTGGATTGTTGTCAGCATATGGGGTGATGATTTATAGGTGCAGGATAATATCTGTGTCCAACCTCAACCCTGATCATAGGTTTCAGATTTAATGAAAATTTTCCTTTCACAAACAAGCAAGAGTCATGCAATTGCATGCCTTGAATCTGTGAAATTTTTTCCACAGACAAGGCAAATTGAACAGATCAGAAGGTTTTGGACAAGCAAGAGCTTTGGCACTCTTTTTGACAGCATTACAATTCTGACAAACTCCAGGGCATTGCTCCCCCTAAATTTAATTGCATCACTGTATAATTGGGGTGAGTAGGCAAATTAACCCTTGCATACCAGGGAAGATGAGAATAATCATGATGTTTTAAATATTTGAGACTTGAAGTAGTAATATTCAACATCTGTAAATAAATTTCTAATAATCAAACTGATAGTTTTCTAATGTTCCCAGATTGTCCAAGAGCAGTTTTCCATATGTGAGTGAGTTTGAGATCTTCAATAGCCATGTTGCTTTTTTACCTTATAATTATTTAATATTAATAATGATCACACAAATCATTTATTTATATCATGATAAGGAATCTTATATATAGTACCCATCACTATATAATACACTCCACATTTTGATTTATATTTATATAAATAAAAATAGGTTTATTAATTAACACAAAAAAAAA